CATAAAAGTAAGTACAGTAACATAAACCCAGTTTGATTAAATGGAAAACTAGGCTTTCTTTCCTCATTTGAGAATTTTGGGGATTGAATTATAAAGACTATTTATGTATTTGTGATTTGCTTCAAGGTGTCATTTCATTTAGGTTTTACACATGTTGGGGAAAAAATAGAATTAGAGACTACAATCATCACAGTAGCAGTGTACAAATGGAGCTCAGGTTGATGTGGAAGAAAGCAGGATATCGCCTAGCTGATTCCTGCCATATCCTGAAAAAGATAAACCCCTAATCGTATCCTTCATTAGCATCAAGCATGGAAAAAACAGCTTATGCCAGGGATTACTTAGCAAATGTAGTTAGTGGGAGAAATTATTCATTGAAGAAAATGCAAAATCACTCAAATTAATCTTTGAAATACATGGAGTTTGACTTTCCTCTCTCTTACACTGGGATAAATGATGAATAGTTCCATTTCAGTGAGTTAGATACTGTAGTGTAGTTGGAGAGGAAATGCAGCTTGCCTGCTCTCTCAGGATTTTAAAAGATTTACATTTTTAAGGCAGAATTGTTTATCCTTAAAATCTGAACTTGTACATTCATAGGAATAATCATGACCTGGTGTCACAGAGTAGAACCCTTTGACACATGATCTCTACCTGTTTAAATCCAGACTGGAGTCTTTGCACCATCATATGGGTTCTGTACTGGTTGGCTTAACTTTGGCACTGGCTTTAGTATTTGCAATTTGAAAAAAAAACAAACTAGATAATATGTGTTGTTTGATGACTCTCTGAAATATACCTTGTTTTATGCTGTCACTTTTGCAATGTTAAATTCTCTGCTTGAGAATTAAAATATCAAATTTGTCATTATTGTAGGTGGGCAGAGCCGAAGAATTCCTACAGAGTTCGAAAGTGGTGTACTTTCCTAACTTTTTATGTCCATTGTTCAGCTTCAGGCAATGTCTTGACATTTAGTTCTGCTTTCCATACATATGCATTGACAGAAATGTTTTTATGCCTACCCTGTGGGTCTTTGTTTCTAGCAAACCTGTGTCGTATTTTCTTTCTTATGATTTCCTTTCTATGCACAACTTAATTTTTTTTTCATAGATTAAAGAGTGTTCGTTTTATGGCCTAAGAAATTATGAAGCCTTATAGCATTCAAAAACAGAAGAGACATGCTGTAATTTTTTACTTTTTTTTCAGTTAATTGTGTACCCTAGGAGAGCATAACTGAGGAGGAAAATGCAGGAGACATGGTGAAGTAAACATATATTATTTCATTCCCATTTCTGATCAGAAGTTTATTGCACTGTCATTGTCACGGACAATAGAATCTGAACGTGAATCGTTGGTGAATATCCATCATTTTATGAAAGCAGGTTGTTGTTGATGACAACTTCAATGTGAGCCATCTTTGTGGGCTTGGGGAGTTTGGGGCCTGTGCTGGCTTGAGTTAGCACACTAATCCCTGCTTCCAGATATCCTTTCATTCCTATAACAAAGAGGTAATCCTCTGGTGTAATTCAGTATTTGCTATTCTGGTCTCAAGAGGAGAATTACATTAAAGAAAAAGAATTTCCGTTCTCTTCTCCTTGCTTCTGGGCAAAGAACAACATGGTTCATGGTGCCGGATTGATGCTTATTTACACTGAGGTTCATTCACACACTGTTTTGAGCCTTTTTATATCATCATGTTGTCAAGAGGAAGGAAGCCTTGAAAAAAAATTTAAATGTTTTTTACAGATTAGCACTGGAGAAGATGATCTCTCCCTACAGTCAGTTTTTACAGGTATAGAGGACATTTTGATGACTGCAGACTGGTGACTGTATTGCAATGAAAATTTGGTGCTGCTTGATTATCAGAAGAGACCCCAGAGAGACACCTATATGATTAGTCATGGATGGAGTCACGTGTGCTCTTCAGTTGTGCTTGCTCCTCAAGTTCTCTTTGGCCTCTGAAAGCATCATTGTGTGTAGACTGGGACGTACTGTAGTGCTGTCTGGAGCCAGCGGGGATGGGTCTGCAGTCTAGCAGGGCCAGGTATGGACAAGTCCAATCTACAGCAGATGTCCAAAGCTCTGCTATTCCGCAGCTAATTTTGGATGGTTTTAACCTAGCTGTGACTAGGCTAACCACTGTGGTCGTGATGGAGACGCACAGAGGTCAGCATGCTTATGCTCCATTCTTAAACCATCTCTTGGCATCACAACATAAGCTGTGTGATCTCACACTTTTGGAAATAGCTCTATAATCAAGTGTTATCTTGTGGAAATTTTCAATGTAGCTTGTGTGGAGTTTCATAGCTGAATACATCCAGGAGAGATGTGAAGTCAATGAGCAGTTCAGAGGATTCCAGCTTTGAGAAAATTCGACATAAAAAGCCAAAATAGGATGTAGTTCAACGTTTTAGAAAGGTGGTGGAAGCATTTGAAGCATACAAAAAGAATCAGGATGTTTGGGGAAACTTGTCTTTCCCAGTAGAGACACTAATAAACATTTTAACAGTATTGTTTACCTCCTGCTGCTTCACTGGAAAGAGCAAATTGTAAGTATAATTTCAGAATTAACCGTTTTTGGCAAAGCGAGACTGATTCAAAGCCCGGAGCAAATTACTGGGTTTGTTGTTAAAAATACCCATGCCATAGAATGGGTGATTATTTTTATCCCATAGTTCTCAAAACAGAAACAGAAAAGAACTGCTACTTCTTCATCTAAGGTTAGGTTGCAAGAAAGAGAGAAGTTTTGTTGTACTGGCTATTTTTAAAATGAAACACTTCTTTTAGGTGTCATTTTATATGCCACACATAGAACAGAAGAAACTAATTTACTTTCGTTGGCACACAGAGGGCAGCTTTGTCCTACAGCAGATACCCTGTGATACTTAACTTGCGCTCATTCCTGTATCCTTTCGGATTCACTTCCATCACTTTGTGCTGGATACCAATTAGTTTTAACAAGGATGCACAGAGACTTCCACGAAGTGCCAAAGGAAAGTATTTCAGAGATTCCAGAGTAATACGTCTGACGCTTAGCCAGTTCTCTCATCTGAAGCATGAGAGAGTATTTCGGAAAGACCTAATAGCCAAGAAGGGGATTTCTGCACAGAAGAGAGAAGCAGTAGCAGTCCAAGAGGAGTGTCTTGAATGGGAAGAGCAGGTGAACTATAGGAAAGGGATTTGTTTGCAAATGCTTTTTCATAAATCCCAAAACAAAAATGGAGAATTCCTAGCTGTAATTCTGATTGGATTTTTCTGCCCTTTTTCCCTCCTGAAATGCTTTGATTTGTACTTATAACCTTTACTGCTTAGACACTTTCATTGCCTTTTTAAAAGTGTATTTAAAATACAGACTTGTGAAGCCAATTTGTAGCACCTAAAATCACCTCTTAACTTCCAGACACTTGATTGCTGTCTTCAAAATAAAACTACGAGTTTTTTTGAAAAGGAAACAAAAATATTATCTCTGGAAGCTATTCAAAAGATTGTGCTCCTTCTGAATAGAAGTGCTAACCATTTATACAGGTTGATTTTTTAAGGTATAATTCATAAAATTTGGCTTATGAAAGTCAATTTTCCCATGGGACATGAGGAAAAAGAAGGCTGGAGTTTCTTTTGATTGTGTTTTTGCGGTTTGGTTTTTGGTTTTGTTGTTGTTTTTTTTTTCCCCAGTTACCTAGAAAGCAGGAAGTTGTTTCCTTCAATAAGACAAGAGTCAGAGCATCTTAGCACCTAACTCACAGAACAAACAGGACTGGTCCAATATCTAGTGAAGAAAGGAATGATATTGCTGGAATTTCTGAAATCCCGGAAATATACCTCAGCAGGAGAGATCTGCACTAGAAGCAGAGCACACCTGATTAAGGAGGAAGACACTTAAGGGTGTTTATGGTTGTACAGTTCTTTATAGCATCCAGAGCTACATCAGATGGTACAAAGTGACTGTACTTAGGGAGGAAATGAGAGGCTGGCTTGCAGTCTGCAAGAGAAAGTGTGCACGTTAGAAAAATTAATAAACAGTTAAATTAATGAAATGAGAGCTTTTTTGACTGTTTCATTGTTAATATTACGTAACTTTCTGAAAATACTTCCTGAACTTTATATCAGGAGGTATGTTTTTCAGCACAAGTGTCTTTGAGTTCTGTTTCAACTGCTGATCTGATTGATCAATACTTCACTTTATCAGCACCTGTTGATTAGTCACTCTTCTGTTTCTCACATCATCCTTGTGAAATAAATGAAGATAATTATGGTGGTTTCCTGAAGAATAGAATTCAAGGCAGAGAGAGATAGGACTCAGATTTATCCAACCAATCTGAAGTTCTCAGGTGAGAGGTGCCTTTTCCCTATGCATTTTCCCTGCCTCTGAAGACATCTCCTAAATCTCTCTAAGGTTTGTGCATGTAGATACACAGAGTTAAAAATATTAAATAGGATATAAGTGAGGGCACAAGGTTCAGAGAGCAGTTGTTTTGATTAATTGCTTCATTGTGATTCATACATTTTAGCAAGTATAGTGCATAGATCATATATAATCATAAAGTTTAAATCAAGGGCAGCGGTTTTTGCTAGCTTGTTACTAAGAATTTGTACGCATTAAACTTCAGTGTAGTTTTGAATGACAAGGATTTTGTCTGAACTAGTTTTTTGCACTTTTAAATCAAGAATGTCTTCATAAGGTCAGCACAGGTTTTATCAGTGAAAATCTGGTGTGTATTCTGGAACTAGGCTTCTTTTCAAGCAGCTTAATCATGGACTTAACATCAGTCCCCAGGCAGTCACTGGAAAGACTTCCACTGAGTTTAGTGGGTTTTAGTTCACCTCTGTAAGAACTCTACAGCACTTCAAGTGAAGAATGTTCCTGCTCTAAGTGATGCTTGGATGTACGAGGTAGAAAAAATAATGTAAAAAAGTAAAGCAACACACTTGAAAAATTTTACTAGCTATGAAAGGGGGGTATCCTGAACTCTTTTTCTGTCATGTTTTCTTTTGCTCAACAGCTTGTCCACCAGGAACGTACAAGCCTGAAGGTTCTCCAGGTGGAATCAGCACTTGCACATCATGTCCCGATGAGAATCATACTTCTCCACCAGGAAGTACCTCCATTGAGGACTGTACATGCCGGGAGGGATATCGTGCTGTAGGACAAACCTGTGAAGGTAAGTGTTTTCATCCTGGAATGCACAATGCAGTGCTGGGGCAATTTTGTTATTTGTGTTTGCACTGAGAAGGGTGTGTCAAATTGCATGCAAGATTTTCTGTGTCATTCCAGAACAACAAAAGTACCGAGATGCAAGTCGAGTTGGAAATGAAAAAAATTGTTTTACTTCAATAGCCTATTGCACTCCAGCTAGCATCATAACTTTGTTGTGGTTGTTTAATTATATAGTTGTTCACTGCCCTGAACTGAAGCCCCCTGAAAATGGTTACTTTGTCCAGAATGTCTGCAACAATTACTTTAATGCTGCCTGTGGGATCCGATGCACAGCAGGATTTGATCTTGTGGGAAGCAGCATCCGGCTTTGTCAGCCAAATGGCCAATGGTCTGGATCAGAAGCTACTTGCAGAGGTATGGTTGTCATGTGTTTGAAGAGTCTTTTTCCATTAGATTAGTTTGTTCTTAACAGTGGTTTTCTCTGCTCACTACACAGTTGGGCATGCAGATCTGATCCTGTTAGCTCTTGGGTGAAAGAATATTCCAAAGGTAAACTCCCACTCCAATCACTCCATTTCCCTCCTTCCTAAAATGGAGGAGGAATTTCCAATTCCATTTTAGGAAGGAGGACATCTACAATAGAAAGTGCAGAGCAATATTTACTAGGCAGACAGTCTTTGCAAGTGAATCTACACTCTCCTTCCTTAAACCTCTCTCCACCTAATTTCCATGAATTTTGTATCTACATTATGTGAATCCAGTGAACCTACAAAGTAGTTAAATAAAGTACAAGACCTTGCCACATGTCTGTTTTAGAATATCTGCCAGACACCTGGTGTAGTTGAGCATTGGCATTGGGAGATGTTAACCATGGAAGAATTCCATTGTGCTTTCTTACCTTTCCTTCTTATGAAAAACAGGAAAGCTTGGGCCTTGAGCATAGTCTTCAGAAGAATTTTGAGTGGAGTTTCACCAGGGAACAACTGGCAGTATCCTAGAATTTCACAGTAAGAGGAACGTCAGCTGGGAAAGAAATAAACAGAAGGTGTGAAAGGGAGGAGACATGAGAAAGAGCATCCTGGAAAAAATAATTTCTGGATCTTTTACAAGTACATGGGAACACAGTTTTGCTTTTTTATCACTTCCCTCTGCCTGAGATTGAGCTCTGAATGATTTAGAAGGGGAACTACTTCCCCACGTAGTCCTATCTAATATGTCTTCCAAGGAGGGCCTGAAAAAACAGGTAGCAGCCTTTTTTCTCCTTGACAGCCACAGGCTGTAGTTCAATGTGTTTAACTTGAGTTGGATACACTTGACATTAGTATGCTGCACTGAAAGATAGTAAGTAAGAAGTCCTCAACTCCTTC